GATAAGAGTTTCTGGTCGTCTTCTGATACAGCAGTAAACCCTGATGAAGAACACATGCTACTTTGTCATTCAACATAAATATTCACTTTAAAATGTCATCAGCAAACAGCCATACTGGGTGGATTTAATCATGCAAGTATTCACAGAACTTCACGAGCACCTGCTCCTTCAGCCAGTTTGTGATTTTAGGCATCAGTCCTTCCTCTTTTCCTTCTTCTGGATGTGTTATGAGAAAGTCCACATCGTGACCGACTTCCTTCCCCCTAAAATATATATAGCAAATAAAGATGTATATATAGTACATTCAACTTTACTCACATACATACAGTATATTCATGTAAAGCAATATATACAGTATAGTAAGCCACGAGGTTTTTTTTTTTATATAGTTGCAAAATGTAAATAATATTATTGTACAGCTCCGTTTATAAAGTTGGAAATGTATCCAACCTTATTTGCATACATACAGTATACTAACGATAAGCAATCTATAGCAAATCTCAACTTCTTGATTGTTCATATCATCACAGAATGTAAACTATATTATTGTCCAGCTCTAATCTGCTAAATGCTGCTATAAGACATGAAAATATTAAGATATTAGAAACATTAACATCAGTATTTTCTGTAACGAACGAGCCGTTTTAGGTAGGTGTGGCTAACTCTTAACTTTTATAAAGAATATCTCTTTGGATTTGAGACTTTAGTCTTTGCAACTTTACAGATCTTCTTTATGCACCAAGAGCTTGTAACACTCTAAAGAGAAAGGAAAAAATGAAATCGCATCATATGACCCCTTTAATCAATATGTATAGTGAAAAGCACTATACAAATTAATTTGACTTGACCTAAAATGCACATGAAGGCTCCAAACTGCTTTGAAACTACAGTATTAAGGTAAGATATGCACATCATTAGCACACAGACCTCCTGAAGCCTCCCATGAGCTGGATCTCTGCTCCGGGCAGCACAGCGTGCACAGCTTTCTCAACGATATCACTGATGACATCAGCCTCCGCCTTAGTGACGGGTTTCTGGAGGTCATCGTAATACTGGACTCCTGAGGTCAGAGGTCATATATATATATATATATATATATATGCATTAGGCTAACTGAGACTTGTCATAGCACTTGCATATCATTGCTCTTTTGTTGATTTTGATTGCTTCCATTGTCCTCATTTGTAAGTCGCTTTCGCTATAAAAGCGCCTGCTAAATGAATAAAATATATATTCGACGTTCATCTTCGGAACACAAATTAAGATATTTTTTATGCATTCCGAGAGCTCTCTGACCCTCCATAGAAAACAAAAATAACGACTTTATTCAACAATTCGTCTCCTCCACGTCATCCTATAACGCCATTTTGGAGAGTATCACATACGTAAACAACGTATGCAACGCATGTACGCGGATACGTTATTTACGTTCAGATCAAAGCGCAAACAGTGTAAACAGGATCCGCGTACATAGACATATAAAATACCTGGACGCCTCATTGGCCGCTTTGGACCGTTGCTGCGATACGTCAACGAGTCCGCCATATTGGTATTTTATGTCCGCGTACGGTGCTGCTGACACAGGACAGCATACGTTGTTTACGTATGTGATACTCCCCAAAATGGCGCTATAGGGTGACGCGGAGGAGACAAATTGTTGAATAAAGTCGTAATTTTTTTTTCTTTGCACACAAAAAGTATTCTCGTAGTTTCGTAAAATTACGGTTGAACCCCTGATGTCACATGGATTATTTTAACGATCTCCTTGCTACGTTTCTGAGCCTTGATCGTGTTAGGATACTTGCTGTCTATGGGAGGGTTAGAGAGCTCTTGGAATTCATCAAAAATTACTTACTTTGTGTCTTGAAGATGAACGGAGATCTTACGGGTTTGGAACGACATGAGGGTGAGTAATTAATGACGGAATTTCCATTTTTGGGTGAACTATCCCTTTAAAAGTTGATAAAATCAATTAAAAGTTGCTTTATGTTAATATTTTGAAAACACGTACTTTATATTTTAGAATTTTTTTCAAAAATATGAAAATACTTTAATTAAGACAATTAATCAAATAATTTAAAAGTTAAAAGAAAAAAAAACATTTTTACATATATAATGTGGTGAATTGGCAGCAGCTTATCAATGGAAAAATGTATTTTATGTTTTAAGTTTATATATATATATATACAGTATATATATATATATATATATTTACACACACACTTGCACGCACACACATACACACATATATACAGCATACATTCAATCATGATATGTTTTAAGTTTATATATATATATATACAGTATATATATATATATATATTTACACACATACACACATATATACAGCATACATTCAATCATGAATCAATTATTTTTTATTTATTTATGAATGTAATTACAAATAACTAAATAATAATTTTCAACAGTGAAATGCAGTACCTGCTTGCTGTTCACGGTTCAACTGTTGTCCTGTGCGAATCAAATCGTCTGGAGATCGCAAACCCTCTCTAAACCAGCGATCTGCAGTCCGCACACCCACCCCGAAAATACCAGTTAGTGCCTGCAGAAAGGGAAGATATGACCTCATAATTCACACACTAAAGCTGACCAATCAGGCATATCATTTACACTGCCTTCACAGTTCTTTCTGCAAAAACAGAATATAGTACGACTACTACCCATCTTTACCTTCATGGCCTGATATTGCTCTGATTGTCTTGTTGACTCTACTTCTCTTGATGATCCATCTTCTAAAATCTCCTAAAAAGGTGAAATAGAATTATTAACAGATGCATCTAGATAACATGGGTTTTTGAGAAGATAAGGGAGCTTGATTATCACCTTTATAACTCTCTGTGAATGGTCACCCAGGCAGGGCAAACACCTCAGATCCTGCATGCTCCTCACGCGCCGGGGAAGCGCCTTCAGGACTGATGCCGCCCGTCTGAACGCCACGCTCCGTCCTTCATTATCATTATATTCGGCATTCTGAGACAAGATTTCAAGAGCCTCCTGCGGGACAGAGTGCCAAACTGTTCATCAAACTGCTCAGACACATTATTAGAAAAAGACAATAAATAACTCACTGTTAGAAATGAATTGTAGTGTTTTAAAGGCGTTCGTCTTTGACAGGCGTAACTTTTCATCAGCATTGCTGTGGGGTCTCCATTGGGTTTTGGGTTAACCTGCAACACGTCTAAATACTTAGTTCAACTGCTCTTTTAAAAGTAACGTGTCCATAAATGTGTCCTTGTACCTTTAATATGTGTCTGTCCTGAACTGTAACGGGATGTCCTGCCTCCATGCTCTCCGTAAACCACCTGATGTCCAACAAATGGACAGAACTGGAGGAGTCTCGTCCAGTTTGGTTGTCCAACCAGGCCTGGACTTCATCTCCACTGTTGTTTTCTGACACAACATGTGTGATGGAGGAACTGTAAGAGTAAAACAAACAGGAATAGTCCAAAAGTTTCAAAAATAGTCCACCCCTATAAAAAAGCACTGTGGTAATATCATAGTAAAGTGCTGATGGTTCGTACCTGTAGGTTTCTTTAATAAGAAATCCTTTGCTCCGTCCTAGTCGTGTAAGAAATGCTCTTCTAGATGTTCCCATCTTCCTCTCCAAGATGAATATAGAAACATGGGGAAATTTACAGGTGTCATCCTGTTGGCTTACAGATAGAGAGGCTTTCCTGCGTTTTAATGGGATCATAGTCTAGAGCAAACACTAAAATCATATAACCTTCATCACCCCATCTACCACCACAGAGTAGATAAGATCAGACGCTCTGTGCTTATTTCTGCGCTTCCACCAGACTGAGGGAAAAGGTGTCACGTGTGCGTCACAGAAATAAAAACGTAAATAGAACGGCAGTTATCGCGAAACAAGTGCGAAACAAGTTGTCTCTATAGAAAATAATTATTCTGTTTGAGCTATTCACTTGGTGTTTTTAAAATGAAACTAATTTTATGAGTATAATTTTAAAATTAAAAGTTGTCCTGATCGCTGCTAAAGATGCAGTGTTATCACGTGGTATCTGGTACGTTTCTCTGCGCTGGTGAAGATGGACCAATCACAGCCGTTTGTGATTACTGGAAATGAATTCTAAAATCACTTATAGAAATTGTTCTGGAAGATTCGAATTATGATCAAGAATATCGATTAATACATTTGATCGACAATAGCGCTGTAAACAAACGCCTTCAAAAACGTAAATCATCTTCACATTTGAATGTGAATCAAACGAGAGCTCAGGTTTTTGGGCCACAGTCGCCACCTCTCGGAAGACAGACCTCATGTCTCGTAGGATTGTATCCAGGGGGATCTATTTTGGGTGATACACATGTTGAGAAAGTTTTGGTGCACCCATAAAGTGTTCCGACTGGGTGCAGACATGACAGACGTCGGTTGCCACAATAACTTAAATCACAGTAGTTACACAATAAAAAATAATATAATAAATACGAAAGGTCAGATTTTCTTGATCTTCAAATGCATTTACAATACTATGTCATATGCGATTATAAAACAATAACACACAATCACGTGAAAGGGAGGGTGTGAGGATGTGACCCTGCAAATAAAACGCACACGGTCATGTTTGATAAAACTTTTATTTTGTTAATTTGAGAGTAATGTTTTTCATTTGAGGTGTCATGTTTGTTCTATATTTCTCTTTATTCATTTGCGCTGAATTCTTATTACATACGTGAATAAACGAAAAAGATAGAAATATATCATTTTCGTCTGACACATAAATTATAAACTTACATTTGTCATTTTTAAATTAAATGGCTAAAAAAATAAGTATTTTGAAATTTTTTTTTTTGCTATCAGAGCGATAAATAATAATTCATAAAACATTTTAAAACAACGAAAAAACTAGAGCACGGTTTTTAAACGGACACAACCTTTGTGTTAAAAAAACTCTAAAAGAGCGAATGTTTTTTTTTTATTTTTTATGTTGTTACTTCATAATGAACTGTGACTTTATTGTGAATGCATCAGCTGTTAGATCAGGTTGCAGTCATATGACACACAGAGCGTCTCACTTCCTCAAACTTTCTCAGTTCATCCCACCGTGTGTGCTGCTGTTCGCCACTCATAACCCTCGTCTGCTTGACACCGTTTCTCCAGGCAGACAGGTTGCGGGTTTGGTCTGGTTTTGTCCTCATGGCGAGCTCGCGTGTGGCGTCCACCTGTCTATTTGTCGCGCTTCTCACCTGCACGCTCAGGTGTTCACAATGCGTCAAACTGAGCAACATCATCCTCATTCTCACCGACGACCAGGATGTGGAGATGGGGGGAATGGTAAGTGAACAAAATTAGACTTCAAGTGCTTTTTTTAATTGTCGTGCACCATGACAGTATCACTTCTTCACAAAGTATTGTGGCGGTGGCTTGCTGGTAACAGTGATTTTAGATGGTAATACAATGGCACTGAAATTTATGCACCATAATGTTGACATAGTACTTAAGTGAACTTCCAAAAAAACAATGGTACTACCTTGGTGTATGTAGATAAAAACATTAGCACTCTGTATATGTATATTACGGTGGCCGAGAAGTGCGTGCATTTGCGTTTGTAATTTGTTATTTTGTTTTCAGAATTGTGATTTGCTTCGCACTTCTCGGCCACCGTAGTATATACTATATTCACCTCAGATTCAAACAGAACAAAATTAGGAAATATTTCGTTGATGACATTTTTTTTCTTTAAATTGTGACATTTTATCATGAAAAACAAGCACATTTAATTTCCCAATTCTCATTCTGATACTGCAAAAATTGATAACATAATTTTAAATATATGTTTATTTAAATGCAGCAGTATTTATACATTGTAGCATTTGTTGTACTAGGCAATTTTGCATTGATTTTTCTGCATGTATATATAAGTTAGTACTCTGTTTGTCCATAGAAATTTTGTGTGGTATGTGTGTGTAAAAACTTGCTATTTTAGGATTTTACATTGACATTTTTTCACAAAAATTAAGCACATTTATTAAACGATGCATGCACAGATAATGCAAAAATATTAAATTGTTAACTATATATTCAAATGCATTATTTAAATTTAAAAGTATACATCGTAGCATTTATTGTACTAGTGCTGACTGAAATAAAAAATGATGTACTTAAGCATCATGCAAATAATGTTGTGATTATAAAACTACTAGGCTAGGTTAAACCAGTCCCATGTTAAAGTCATATTGAAACTGCTGTTGTTTAAAGAATCAAGTCCAGGAACAAGTCATTCGGCTAAAATTAGTGTGTGAAATCATACATCCTGTTGACACTTAGTTACAGATGATGCATCATATCTACATTATAGCCATCTCATAGAATCTTTTTTATTCACAGACGCCCATGAAGAAGACCAAAGCACTGATCGGTGATGCTGGTGTGACTTTCTCCAATGCTGTGAGTGCTTAGTCATGATCCAAAGATTTTGTTTAATGGATCTGATCAAATATCACAAGTTTCTCTTTTCCTGTTGTGTTTAGTTCACTGCCACCCCTCTGTGCTGTCCCAGTCGCAGCAGCATCCTCACTGGGAAATATCCACACAATCATTTGGTCCGAAATAACTCCATCTCTGGCAACTGCAGCGGCACAGTGTGGCAGAAGGAGGCCGAGCCCTTCGCCTTTCCGGTTTACCTCAATAAGATGCGCTACCAGACCTTCTACGGCGGGAAATACTTGAATCAGGTCAGCTTTTGTCCCGTTTGGTGCTCTATACACTATCACTTGCCTATTTGCATGGTGCTCGTTCTGTGAAATTTGCCTGCAATGATATCAGAAGCTCTGCACAACGTGTTTAAATATTTGCAATCTTTCAAGTGTTCCAAGCCAACAACATTCTTACGGGTTTGAGAAGTTTGAAATGCTGCTAATGTTTGTGTTCGTTTTCAGTTATTTCCCCGATTGCCTCAAATTCAAGAAAACTATTTGAGTAAATGAAATAATTTAATAAAATATTTTAAAAATGTTTTATTTAAATTATTTATATTACTTAAATATTTAAAATAAGATTTTTTTTGTTGCATATTTTTGTTAATTATACAATATTTATATTATAATCTTTTTGCATTATAGTAATCTTAAGTTCTTCACTACCACATGTCCAGGTCACATTTTACCCCAAATTTTACTTAAAAAAAAACACAAAGTTTTTGCCTCTTTTTAGCATTAAGTTTTATTTTGTAATGTGACTTTATTGACTTCATGATTATTAAGCTCTTTTAACCTCCAAATTATGATTATTCTGAAATAAATACTAAAATACAATAATTTATTTCAGTCAGCAGTAGTACAACCATTGCTATGTAAATACTTTGTAATAATAATAAATAAAAAAAATAAAAAAAAGACCTGAACCCCATAGAGAATCTATGGGGTATTGTCAAGAGGAAAATGAGAAACAAGAGACCAAAAAATGTAGATGAGCTGAAGGCCACTGTCAAAGAAACGTGGGCTTCCATACCACCTCAGCAGTGCTACAAACTGATCACCTCCATGCCACGCTGAATTGAGGCAGTAATTAAAGCAAAATGAGCCCCTACCAAGTATTGAGTACATGTACAGTAAATGAACATACTTTCCAGAAGGCCAACAATTCACTAAAAATTTTTTTTTTTATTGGTCTTATGAAGTATTCTAATTTGTTGAGATGTGAATTGGTGGGTTTTTGTTAAATGTGAGCCAAAATCATCACAATTAAAAGAACCAAAGACGTAAACTACTTCAGTCTGTGTGCATTGAATTTATTTAATACACGAGTTTCACAATTTGAGTTGAATTACTGAAATAAATGAACTTTTCCATGATATTCTAATTTATTGAGATGCACCTGTATGTATGTGTGTATATATATATATATATATATAAATATATATACTGTATATACACACACACACACACACACACACATATATAACAGTTTAATATAATTAACATATTAAATATAATTTTTGCATTATTTTAAAAATACCACAATGCAAAAAAATCATAAAATAACCTTCATTTCATCAACAAAATATAATTTCTTAATTTTCTGAAACCTAAAAAAAAAATTTCTTAGAGATGAAATATGACTCTGGCATGTTCTTGACTCGTTTCATGAGATTCTTCCAGTTGCTTTTCCCTCAGCTTACATACAGTAAATCCCTCTCTGTGTCCTCCTCAGTATGGAAGTAAAGACGCAGGCGGTGTGGGTCATGTGCCTCCTGGCTGGGACCAATGGCATGCACTGGTAAGTCATGAACAGATGCATCATTCCAAGACTTCTTCCCTTTTACATTCAGATCAGCGGGAAAAATGCTGTATGTGCTGCAATATGTTCTATACTTCCCTTATCCGACAGTGTCAGTCACCTATAGACAAGCATTCATGCAGAATGCATGGTTTAGTATGGTCATGTGATACGGTCTCAACTTGCACTGCAAAAGCAGATCTGGTTTTTAACCATTTAATTTCCCTTTTACTGATGATCTAACAGTCTTTTGGTTTTATTTGTGTCTCCACAGGTGGGAAACTCTAAATATTACAATTACACACTGTCTGTGAATGGAAAAGAGGAAAAACATGGAGACAACTATGAGAAGGACTATCTCACAGATCTGGTTGTAAGTGTTTAATGCTTTAAAGTGTATAGTCAACATTAAAACAGGATCTGTAAGCCATTTTTACTTCCATAATGTGATGCACTTCTGGGTTAAACAGGATATTCAATGAGAAATAAAATAGACTTATTTTATTTATATATAAATACATTTTAAATATGTATATATAAACATATTATACATTTATTTTATTATATATCTTGTTATTTTGTTTATAATTTGGAGACGGGTTTTTAATAGGCAATATGTTCATGACAAGTTTCAAAGACAATCTTTTTAATTTTAATAAGTTGCCCTAAAAAATAGTTCACAATAAGACTAGGAATGTGTATTAGCAAAGTAAATAGAGTAATTCGACTTCAAGTTGGAGCATGTCATGTCACATTAAATCAAACATTCATTTTTAGAGGCGTAAACAGTCACTCAATTTATGCAGCTGTTTACTTCCTGCTAAATGTGACAGCCAGTGAATTGCTTCATCACCTGCTAAACTTGTTTTACGTTGGAAATGCATCAGTTAACACAGTGTGGTTACCAAATAATATCGCCATTGGCTGTTTAAGAACAAGACACAAGCTGTTTGCCTCATGACTGACTGAGAAGCCACATAGTTTCATTCTGTGTGACTCTGAATGCGCCTCCACACGTCAGCCTGTCCACGCTGCAGTGTGTCATGTGACTTCTGTGGGACGCATGACTGGACTGCTTGATACGGCCTGCGACATTGTTTTGTTGCCTATCTGACACTAAAACCTGGCTGAAATCTTGCCGTCACTGACTGTTGCTCTGTTATTATTTAACTAAGGGCAGGTATTCTGGAAACAGATGAACTCTAGTCCTGAATTCAACTCCAATCACAATAGTGGTTTTCCACAGTCTGGGGCTGTGTGTAGCAGTGTTATTTTAGTATCATTGAGATACTATTATAGATTTTTTTGGACCATTCAAAAAAAAATTTTAGATGAAATTCTTAAATTTTTAATTTCACATTTTAATTTATTTATTAATTTACTTTATTTATATTTTTATTTATTAAATTTTATATTAGTTTAGTATAAATTAATATATTAATTGATTTAAAAATTGTAAATTTAGATAAAGGTTTTGTGATTGTATTGCCTGTTTTTGTAATTTATTAGTTTTTTTTTTTTTTTAAATGTCTGTATAGTTTTTATTCATTTTATTTCAGTTTTGTTATTTTAGTATATCAGGTTACACTAAATGAAAATGAGACATGCTTGTTTAGCAACTAATTGAAATAAAAATGAGTTCAAGTTATGTTTTCTCTAAGAAAAGGGTCGCTGAAACAGTGCATCTGCAGCATGCATTTGTTTATATTTTTAATTAAAAATATAAATGTCATTGCATTAAATAAAATATGAACCAAGTGGCATCTGCGGACAACAAAAGAAAAATCAACTTATTTGAGCCATTCTTAGTCTACGTGGTATTAAAATGTGATCCAATGTCAAGCTGCATAACATACCAGACAATCCAGTTTGTTTGCATGAAGTTATATCTTACATGAAAACCTGGTGGTTAATATCTGCAATCAAATGTATGTTGATTCTAGTTGAACCGCTCGCTGCATTTCCTGGAGGAGCGGAGCCCCAATCACCCGTTCTTCATGATGTTGTGTCCGCCGTCTCCTCATTCGCCGTGGACGGCCGCCCCTCAGTATCAGCAGTCCTTCAGCGACGTCAAAGCTCCACGAAACGGCAGCTTCAACATGCCTGGAAAGGTTCAGCTTTCAGTTTCATCCGTAATGACATCTGACAGATTATGAGGAAGTACTACAGCTGTAAACGATGAGTTTGACAAGATTGGCTTTACACAACATTTGACACTTCAAGAAACCAAATCTAATGTAATGTCCAAAAAACAATTGGATATAAAATAATATTTTAATAATGTTTATTGAAATGTTTATTTATCATTTGTATGTAATTTAATATAAATCTGTGGGATTTTATATAAGCATCAGTTTGCATCTCTCAGCAGACATTTTTCTCACAATATCTCTGAACAGATAAAGACCTTTAATTTACAATTTTGCATCTTAAAATATCATTGATGGTGATTATTGTATTTTATTTTTAAAATAGAGCAAAAAACATGTTTTTTATTTCATGTTTTGTTAAACTATATTCTTAGATTTACCAGTCTTTTTGCCTGCATGTTCATATTTCTAAATTATATTTTGATGCAATTAAAGAATTTTCTGACCTCAGCATGACCATAATATGCTGTTTCTTTGATTTTAGGACAAACATTGGTTACTACGGCAGCCTGCGAATCCAATGCCAAACAGCTCCGTTGAGTACCTCGACAACGCTTACCGCAGGAGGTACGCAAATATAGATTCATATGACATTCTATCAAATAAATCTTTCGATTGAGATATGTGTATTTACTATCTCTGATAGGTGGCAGACGCTTCTGTCAGTGGATGATATGGTGGAGCAGCTGATTAAGAAACTGGATTCAATAAAGGAGTTGAGCAACACGTACATCTTCTACACGTCTGATCACGGCTATCACACCGGTGCGTCCTCAGTCTCCACAGTTTTATTGACCTGTTGTCATCTGACTTTATGACACATAATTTTAAATCCATTTCAGGCCAGTTCTCATTGCCCATTGACAAGAGACAGCTGTACGAGTTTGATATTCGCATCCCTCTTTTAGTTCGGGGTCCAGGAATCAAACCTAAACAAACACTTCAGGTTAGATAAAAGAATTACAGGTTTATTGAACAGTGTGTATAAATATATTATTCTATGTAAAAATTCTGTTTAACTGTCCACTAGTCTCCAGTGCTGAATATAGATCTTTCGATGACTATCCTGGACATCGCAGGAGTAAATCTCTCCACCGTCAACATGGACGGACAGTCTTTCCTGCCACAGATGGTGAGTGTGTCATGATTTTCACTTTCTGTTTCAGTACAGGTGTATTTATATTCTTACTTGTGTATGTATATGTTTTTCTACTGTGAATGTATATGCCATTTCCCCTGGTTTTATGCATTTTTCACTACAATATCTATCTCGATGTAGCATTATATTATACACCCTTATTTGAAAACTATCTACAATTTTTTTTTGTGTGAAAGAAATCAATACTTTTATTTATCAAGGATGCATTAAATTGATGAAAAGTCACAGTAATGACATTTATAATGTAACCAAAAGATCTCGATTTCAAATAAATGCTGATCTTTCTACTCGTTGAAAAAATGTATCATGGTTTCCACAAACATATTAGGCATCTCAACTGTCACTGATATAAGAATAATAAGAAATGTTTCTTGAGCAGCAAATCAGCGTATTAGAATGATTTCTGAAGGATCGTGTGACACTGAAGACTGGAGTAATGATGCTGGAAATTCAGCTTTGATCACAGAAATAAATTATATTTTAAAATATATTACAATAGAAACCAGTTATTTTAAATTGTAATAATATTACTGTTTTTACAGTATTTCTGATCAAATAAATGCAACCAACCCCAAACCCTTAAACAGTAGTGTATGTTTCTCACAAAACCTGTCAGGAGCAAGTCCATATCATATTTCAAGGCCAAATCGAAAGAGGAAAAAAATATTTTCTATAAAAGAAAAAAATGAAGCATGTTTAGGACCATTAAGATTTTTATGCATTGCGAAAATTAAGCACTTTCCCCTCAAATCTCATTACTGGAAAGCAACTATACATACTAATTATAGTCATATTTTCTGCATCTAATTAAAGTTCCATGAATGAGAATTCTCACAATGAGGATTGTCTAAAAATGTCACAATGAACGAAAGTCTTCTCAGTGTTTAACGTTCTCATGTAGGCACCATCGTTGCGTAACGGCACCGAACGGCCCTTCTTCCTGGTTGAGTACACCGGTGAGGGACATTCCTCTGAAGATCCCAGCTGCCCTAAACTCGGCCCTGGACTAGCTGTAAGTGCTTCAGGAATCACATACTACACTCTTAAAAACAAAGCTTCTTTATCGGTTCCATGAACAACCTTTAAAATCAATGGAACTTTGCTATTGCACAAAAGATCCTTTATAGTGGAAAAAAATGTTCTTCACACTATTGTTCTTTGTAGAAGCAAAAATGGTTCTTTTATGGCATGATGCATTTTCCCATCAACCTCTCCTGATTTCTTTTAATACCAAGTGACGTTTTCTCTTTCTTCTAGGAGTGCTTCCCAGACTGCGTATGCGAAGACGCCTTCAACAACACGTACGCCTGCGTCAGAGCTCTGAAGGATGCAAACCTGCAGTACTGCGAGTTCGCAGACAACGAGGTGAGCACATGTCAGAACAGGTGGGCCGTTGTGGACCCAACTTTAAGCTGAATTTCCCCTGTGATCTCCTGCAGTCGTTCGTAGAGGTGTACAACCTGACGTCAGATCCCCATCAGCTGGAGAACATCATGAAGAAGGTCGATCCTACGCTTCTGCAGATCATGAACCAAAGGCTGATCAAGCTGCAGTCCTGCACGGGTGACAGCTGTCGAAACATCAAATAAAACTGTGGCAGAGGGAGGGCCGGACCCCAGCCCTGCTCTGAAAGCCCATCTCTAGCAGCGAACGCCAAGTTGGTTGCACGAAGAAAACAAAAAGAACGACTTTATTCCACATTTTCGTCTCTACTGTGTCACTTTGGACACGCTTTCACGACAGTACCATGACACGAGCGTGTGCCACTTTGATCCAAAGGTAGAGACGAAAATGTGGAATAAAGTCGTTATTTTTGTTTTCTTTGCGCAAAAAAAGTATTCTCGTAGCTTTGTAACTTTACAGTTGAACCACTGATGTCACACGGACTACTTTGTCGATCATCTTGGTACTTTTCTGGACCTTGAACGTGGTAGTTACCTTGCTGTCTATGGGAGGGTCAGAGAGCCCTCAAATTTCATCAAAAATATCTTAAATTGTGTTCCGAAGATGAACGAAGGTCTTACGGGTTTCGAACAACACGAGGGTGAGTAATTAATGACAGAATTTTCATTTTTGGGTGAACTAACCCTTTAAAAGACTTTCTAGCCTACAGAGTCTTCACCTCATGTGAGTGAACACCATTCAGATGAGTGTTCACAAAACTGCAATTTATTTCTTAACGTCCAAGTACAAGCCTGTTGTAAATGAGATTCAGTTACAATGCAAGTCACCTGAGTTCAGCAGCACAACATCTGCAGCTGTGCTTTCATTGTGGTCTCTCTGGTCTTCACCGCAGACAGACGAGCCGTCAGTCACGTCAGCACGGCTCTGATGGGCATGTGGCAGCTCTCAGAGGAACTCCTCAGCATCCCGGCTCATTCCCTTCGCTGGTCTCTGTAGACATCACTAATTACTGCAATTACACAGGCAGATAACGCTCAGAGGTGTGCTGATGTCACTTATGGTGTTCATACAGGACTGAGTTTGAATTCATACCTATGCTGTTGCTAATTGGCTGTCATGAACAACTACGCAATAATAGCGTTCTAAAATTAGGGCCATTTTCTAGGCAATCATCACTATTACTATAGCTTAAAGGGGTCCTAGTATGCTTTTTTACTTTTTCAACTTTAGTTAGTCTGTACGGGTTTGGAACAACATGAGGGTGAGTAATTAATGACAGAATTTTCATTTTTGGGTGAACTATCCCTTTAAATTTGAATGTATCTACAGTGTGATTCTAGTTCAAATGCTGTCATACAGCTACATGAACACAGTTTCTAAGGGCTTGAACCAGTTCAACTGGAGGATTACTCATCGTCAGCCTTGGCTTACTTCCTACTGCAATTTTTGTTTTTTTTCAGCATTATTATGATAAATGAATGTTTAAACCAAATCTTGTTGTGTTTGGCTAAATATACTACTATCAAAACATTAATCTTTTGCATTTTAAGAGTTTTTTTTTTTCTGTTTGACCTTTATGCATGGTTGATTTATTTTGATTTATTGATACTGTGAATTAAACCTTATATGTATCCATAATTGAAAACGCTCATGTGCCACAGTGGAAATCCTGTTCTGATGTTGTTATTTTAAAATGATAAAGGGAAAGGTCTGATATTTAAGGGAATTTTGCCAACTTTGATTTTAACCTAAAATATGATTGTGCCTTTTTGCACTAAAGCAGTGTTTGTGCCTTTGTATGATACAAATGTTGAATAATTTTGAATAATCAATAAATTTATGAAAAATAAATAAGACTTACTTTGCAGCATCCAATTGATGCAAATAGTTTTCCTTCTAAATGTTTTTCATATTTATTTTAATGTATGGTTCTGATTAAAAGACTGATTAAATTAAGAAACTCTGTATGATGAACTTTATGGAATATGCATAATATTCTTAATATAAAGTAATATTTATTGCTGACTGAATTAAAGAATCAAAGTGATTTTAATCCTTAAGTCAATTTATAAAGTACATAATAAAATAAATTGAAAATAAAAATGCAAAATACATAATTCACTGCTTTTTTTTTAGTGACGAAAAACAACAACAACAACAAAAGCTGCAGGGTCATTCATTTATTTTTCCATTAAGGGGCAATATTTTTATTTTAAGGGCCATTTTTTTACCTTTTGTAAAAGGAATGATCTTATTATATGTATTTGTGTTGTCTTTTATGTTAAATACTTATATTTATTCAATTAATTTAATCAATTTGGCATTTTCTTCATTACTGGTAACTAATCGAAATGCCTCTGATTGGCCACTGCATTCATACGCTCGACAGAAACATGCAAAAAAAAAACACAAAAAAAAAACAATGCATTAACGAAATTGTATTAAATCTTAAAATGTGGCTTTTTAGTTCGTATAACTATGCAATTTTTGTGGGAATTTTTGCACCAAACCCCTATTAATTTCCAACCCTGGCATGAAGTAATAAAGAAATATTTTGATCTTTACAAATAAACACAGTATAAGACCCTTTCACGTTACTATCATGAGAATATTTTTACTAATGATTTCCCAAAAAAAAAATAAAAAAAACCTTCATTGACACTTACTGGACAGTGTAAAGCAAACAAATAAATAGAGAAATTATTTATGCTTTTCCCCACAACACATGGCCTTAAAGATATTTGTAGACTACTTTTTCTTCTACCGTCTGCATCTCAATTTTAACTGGACATTTGTAGAAATGGGAGAGCAGTTCCTCTGTGTAACCAATGAGAAAGTAGAATTTCGACGGTAAGAGTTTCTGTATCATCACCGCACAGATGACCAGGAGGTTTCCTCTGCGTTTGATCACCACCTCATCCGCTAAACAGCCGTGAAACGTGCCGTACATGAAGCGTCTGATGAAAACGTCTTCCACTACACGCTCCGCCGCTCCATCTTCACCCTGAAGATTACCTGCGGGACGTAGAAAAGAGTCTTATTTATGCACTTACAGATACTACAGCTAAATGAACCAACAAGGTCTTTATTACCACCCCACATAGCTTCAGTAACACTAGGAATCCAAGAGATTAAAGAGTGGGGATGTGACTTACTGGTGTGCTGTGAGAGCCAGCCCTTCCTGTGGCCGATGTGATGAGGGTGATACGCCTGCTCATAAGTCACTGACTTGTCTCCTTTACCCACTCGAATACGAGCTGCACGGTTCTGTTAGAGAGGAGACCGATCCTCTGGGTTAAAAATGCTTCTGAAAATACTGATTCTAGTCTCTGTCCTTCCCTCATATAATAGTCCAGGCTTTGTTTCAAATGGATTTTGGCTACTACTTTGACATTTTTAAACGACTGTTGATGGTCCGATGTGGAATAAAATTTGACAACTACTTTATAGATCCTAAATCACAAATAAAATTCAATAGATTTCACTAATATTGATATTTTTTGTACATTTTGTGCTTTACATGTAGAAATGTTCTTTCATTTATTCTGGAGTTTTGAAATTGTTTTAGGCAATTTTTGCTTATGACATGTCTTATAAGGAATATTATTTCATTAGTCTGATACTTTTTTTTTTTTGATACTTATTTGCTAATTTTAGTATACATAAATGTAAATATGGGACAAATAAGGCTTTGTTTTAAGTTTAGAAGTTCAACAGTACAAAAATAGTAAATAAATAATTAAATATAATACAAAGCTGTAAAATGTATTGTTTGTATACATGTTGTATGTAAATGTTTTTGTACTTTTTTCATTTTGTTTAACCATATGTACCCCACTTAACTAAAAAAATAGAAGATAGAATAAATTAAATGTGCTTGGATAAACAAGATACACAAATGTCACATTGTAAACTGATGGAGTTTGATCACATACCTTCAAACAAGCTGCAGTACAGTGAATGTTCCTGAAACATGCCGCAGGATTTAACTGGCTGCTCACAATCTACGAAAACAGAGAATATTTGATAAATAATATTTACTACTTATTCAATCTAAATTGTGCTTTCCATCCCACACTACATTCAGTGCCAGTAGCCTATCTATCTATCAGACCGCTTCTGCGTCAGTTACATAAGATATGGAAGATCCTCTCGATTAGAAATGTGTTATTAGTTAGAATAGCAAAAAAAAAAAAAAACGAATTAAATCTTACCGACAACAATTTTGTCTGTCTGACCAAGGACGTCGCCATGTTTTTGCACAAGGCAGTCAAGAGCGCATTACTGCCACCTGCTGCAATGGAATTACATTTTATGCCGTGTCAAATATTTTAATATAAATAATTATAATATAAATATTAGATTCAATGTATTATATCTTGTAAATATGTGTATGTAATAAAATAAAATAAAAATAAAAAAGTTTTTCAAGTGATTTATTATTGGCCAGACTTTTATTTTGTACTGAGTGAACAGGAAGTGTCGTAGCAGCTGCTCAGTCTCGAAAGATCTTGTTGTTACAGTGCTGTTGTCCAAGTTTTCTGCTGGCTCTCTGTTGCTTTGCGTTTGTTTTCCATCAATAAGCATCTAAATTAAACAGCTTTCAGTCAGATTTGGTCCCGCTGAGCTGCTCAGCCATGTCTTCTCCGGTGGAAATGACTGAGCTTTATGATAACGCGCTTTTAGGGATCCTGCAGCATGTTGGAAACATTCAGAATTTTCTGCAGGTTTATTTTGGGTTCCTCTACAGAAAGACGGACTTCTACCGCCTTCTCAGCGGCCCGCAGGACCGCATGGGCTTCCCGCCCGGAGTAGCTGAAAAAATGGTGTTTAAGGTACTGACTGACTTTTGTTTTGATCCATTAAACTGACTGGATAATTTAGAAATAAATATAAATGTGGCAGTGATGGCATCAGCTGAGAATACCATGGTACTGAATGATTATTATTAGGGATGTCAGTTTAACTCGTTAGTTAAATTAGTTAATTAGTTATGAAAAATAACGCCATTAAAATATTTTAACTCAGTTAACGCGCTGGCCCCGCCCCCAGACCTGTACGTCATCTTACATTTCATATGTTGACGGTTGACAAATATGATGCACGGCAACAACTTCATTAATGCACTTATGCCCTAAAATTCAAAATGTTGGGCCAAAAAATGCCCCTGTATGAGTTTTTGTCTCATATTTATATCACATGATAAGCGATATCGCACTAGCAGCAAGAGCAATATCACACCAGTGCTGTTT